ACACACACACACACAGACAGACGGGTCTTCCGTGACACATTTTGTCAGCAGCCACCGAGCATGGGTCCCTTTAGTAATAGAATAGCCGATGTAATTTGACACTTCAACTTACTGCGCTCTCTCCGAGCCTGTTCAGTTACTCACCCGCTGACGCTGAGCCCGTTCTGAGCAGCCAAGGTGGAAGATATTTTATTGAACGAAAGGAAAACGAGGAGAAATTTAAACGAGGACTTTTTGCAGCTTTCCTAAAAAGCCCCCCTCCCCGGTGAGTGTGGCTGCAAAACTTGCTTTGTATGTTTTTTTTTTTATTTAATTTTATGTCGCGCCTTAGGTTTTGTTTCCACTTTATTTTTTTATGGTTCAGATTTGCTCTTTTCCCAACAATAGAGAGTGCCCGCTGGAAGTGGAGCAGGAGCCGGCGAGAATACACCTTTATGAATGTGGTTACTGTTGTTTATCGTGCTGATTAGAGTCGAGCCGGTTAGAAGAGGCAGGTTGTGCGTTTCGCTTTTTTTAGGCACAGATGCCGAGTCGATCCCTGTGAAAGCAGCGGCGTGTTTTTTATTTTATTTTATTTATTATTGCAGCTCGGTTAATATTTGCTTACAGGATGGATTGCGTTTCTGCGTGTGCACGAGTCAGCTCTTGATTTCTTGTTAACCTTCAGCTTCAGGATGTGCACAAAAAAAAGCACATGGTTGTGTGTCGGCGGCTGTGTGGAGTCTCAGGCTGCAGAAGGACTGTGGACAAACGACTGCAGTGCGCGGATCAGACCCTGAATGTCACCTTAAATCTCTAAAACTTTGATAGCAGGAACATATTATTAGAAAGAAAGAAATGCTGTTATCTCAGAGCCTGCGCTTATCTTGCTGCTGGAGGTCATAACTGGATTATAGAGTTTGTTTGTTTTTACAAGTTCACTCCTCAAATTCCTGAGTGGAGCCATTTGTGGATTGAGCAGAACCTTATATTTGCTTTACATATGTCCAGGAAGACAATAATATTGATTTTTTTTTAAAACATAAATAGTCTCAGCTCCCTACTCTGCATTCTTACCCTTTATGTTTTGTATACATGCACTTTATTCCTTGTTTTGAAAGTCCAACTTTTTGTTGCATGAAGCGGGCACACAAACACCCATACAGATGTTTCTCTTCTCCTTTCATTGAAAAAGAGCTTTTCCTGTTTTTGTTAGAAGTTGAGCTTCTGCAGCATCAGTGTTTGGACCCAGCTGCTGAGTGCTCATTCAAAACATCTGTAAGGGATGCAAGTTATAAAACATTCTCTGCCGCTTGTTTACATTTCTGTTGCGCAATCTGAGATGGTTTTAAGTGTTTTTATTATTATTTTTTGATTGAGCACTGACTGGTTTTAGAAAATTAGGTAGGGTTGCGGTGTCAGACAGAAGAGGTTTTTCTATCCCCCCCCTCCTTCCCCGTTCCACCCCACCTCCGTGGGGCCCCAGGTTGCGCTCCTGAATAACCATAGGGCAGACCCCACCATGCTGACCTTCTTCCATTCAAGTTAAGGATGTTGAAACACCAGCCGTCAAACAAAAGACACATTGAAACAGAGAGCTGCAACCCAGCACGTGTGTCTGGGTGCTGAAGTAGACCATTTATTAACTCTRTGTGTCCCACTGACCAATAAAAACCATCGGCAGACAACTGCGTTGAACGAAACTGCAAAAGCACAAGCTGAAATTCAAGAGAGAAAAAAAAAAATACAAGCTGACAGTTTAGAAAAGAGGTGCCCAAAGTGGGGCCCACAGGCCAAAATTGACCCGCCAAGCCATTTCATTTGGCCCATCAGCAYTTGTCCTGGTTATTAGATTGTAATCTCRTGTCCTARGTAGAAACACTATATTTCCACTTTTCAACCATTGGTCCAACTATAGGRAGAAGGAGCTGAAYTCAAATAGTCTTAACTCATGATACTCACTTTATCTTTGAATTATGTTTAGATTAAATATAAGTACCTACTAGGGGTGCAACAATACATGTACCCGTATCGAACCGTATCGAACAGTGCTTTAGGTTCAATACACACMTGTATCGAACAATACAGATTTTTAAAATTTACTTTATCAACTTGTCTTCTGAAGATGCTTTGTGTTGAAGGCTCAGTGGATCTGCATTGAACTACTCCACCTACACTGTATTGTCAAGCACAGATCCACTGAGAAACGTAAAGTTATGAATATAACCACGGTTCCTTGAAGGAATGGAACGAAGTACAACACACAGTTGTACATGGGACACGCGCACCCTCGCGCGCCTGGCTGAAGCCACCTCTAATCACGTCTTTAGACCGGTGACGTGGTGACGTTGAACGTCGGGTGACAGGCTCCGCCTTCACCCTATAAGTTCGGAGTCACCAGCATCATTACTCAGTTTAGATACCGCCCCTCACCGAGCCTTTTGTGATGCGGGGCCAACAAGGTGTTGTACTTCGTTCCYTTCCTMRAAGGAACCGTGGTTATATTCATAACCTTACGTTCCTTTTCAGTCATTTCACTCAGTACAACACGCAGTTGTACATGGGACTTGTCAAAGCGCCCCGCAGAGCAGTATCAGACCTGAGTTAAGTAGTGTGCCTGTACTCTCACCCACCTGACGGGGTGAGAGTACAGGCGGAAGCTGGAAATGGCTGTGCCACATGGGAAATTATTTAACTCTCACATCAGAGAGGACACACAAGAGGCCTCATTACCTCCACAAGCACTGCTGGCCAGCCCGTAAGGAAACTGTGAGCTTGGTGTGGCTCACTTCGGTGTAGCGGCTCAAAAATAGTCTTTGTTTTGTGCCGAGATCTTCCAGAGGCACAACGAAGAGCACAGCACTGTTTTCTCAAAGAAAAAAAAAAAGAAAAAAGTTTAGAGATAAACACTGACTTTGACCTTCGTTATAAGAGCACAATTAAACCTTGTTCCAAAGGTTTGGACCAACTTGCGCTTAAAAAAGCTGGCAAACAGGGCTGCGAGTTTGCTCTATAATATCATAATGTTATTGATTCGGCTTGGGAATTCCACTCGTGGCGAGCGGCTCCTGCACACGGAGAGTTCTCCTTATAGCACTTTAATAGGGAGAAGTCTGCTCTTCTGTTGCGGTCAGAGGCTGTGGGAGGTTTGTGTAGGTTTTGCTCAAGGTCCTTTTTGTGTTGTCTTTGCTTAACAGAATAAATTCTTTGGAATGAATCACTCTGCCGGTAAGACTATTTTCAAAGAGTGCAGGGCAAATGTGAGGAAAGTGCTTCACTGTGCAACCGGAGCTGGTAAATGTTGAGCCTTATCTCTGTGTCAGAAAGCATTTTTGGTTTCAATTATTCATTTGTCACGCTCTTTTTGAGCCAATAAAGCTTTGTAAAGTTGCCAGTTGTTTGCTCTACTAGGAGTTGGACGCTATTAGTTTCTATATAATCTTTTACAGATATTTTTAGCAGATAAAGACGTAACATAAACTGATTTCAAATATAAATTAACCTTTCCAACCCCTTGTGAAACCTCAAATTTCTGTCACTTGAGTCATCTGAAGTTTTTGAATACACATAAAGCATCGTGATTGGCAGTCCCCAGGATCTTTTGGCTGTTCAGTCTTTCAGTCAGTCTGAGATTCTCGGCTGTGTAAGAGCTTTATAGTGAGCGCGACCAGCTTGTGACCCCTTAAAAACGGTAACACTTTGCCACAAGTTCGTTTCAGCTTTAACTCCAGTGTGTTTTTGTCTGACTGTCCAGTACTTTACAGGAGAGCTAAAGTAGACGAAAAAAGCATCCATGTGAATGACTGAAGCTATAAAAAAATAAAGCTCTTTTTAACCTTTTATCCTCCTCTGAGCCTTTCAGATGTAGCTTGACATTCTGGTTATGAAATACTGACCAACACCTAAAGTGCACATCAATTCAAATTAGCAGTGGTATTAAATCAAAACACTATTGATATGAGATTTTTTTTTCTTGAAATATTGTATTATAACACTGTGGCACTACTTCAGTTAACAATCGAAATACTTGTTCCAGCTCTCAGAATTGGCTGTACATCATCCCACCCCATATTTTTCTCCCATCTGCCAATTCTGAATTCCTCATGTGTGTGTTTGTGATGATTTGCGACGCTTTGTGACACACAGCTGCAGTAACCGAGCAGATAGTGGAGTATTTTTTTTTCTTTTTTCTTTTCTGGTTTTGTTTTATGTCGAACGGTCAGACTGTACCTGTCAGCCTCACTGTTGACTGTTAATATGAAAGCTTCTATTTTCAAAACACAGCTCAGAGAAAGAGAATCTGCGTGCCTTTTCTGCTTTCGTGCAGGAGGGAGATACAAAGCCGAGGCAAGGGGATGGGAGAGGTGCCGGGAGTGACGCCAGACCACACATCATTTAATCATGTTAGAGTGTGCAACCACTTTGTGCATATTTTTGGTTGCATTGGTGATTGGAGTTGCTATTATACCAACTGAGCTCAGACGGAGAGAAAGCTGGGGTGGTGGCTTGATGCATAAGAGGAAAAAAAATGGTATTTTGGAATATTTAGAAGTTAATAAATTGACCGTAGTTCAATTTTGATATTTGATGCTGACAAAAACAGCTTTAGGACCACTCAGCCTGTGGATGGATGACCAAAGTGCGTATTAGCGTTGCATTTCAACTCGTTCTTTTGGCGTAATCCCACTGTTGACTTGTCTGCTAAGTACTGAGTGTTATTTTTTTGCGTGCTCTTTTTAGGAAGCCCCTCAATGCATAATCTCACTTAATCTAATCTATCCCACTCTATAATAGACTGAGAATTTATAGAAAAAGCTTTATGTAGATCCATACCAAACAGACCGACGTGCCGGTCGCCTCCCCAGCCCCTCTGGCGAAGCTCTTGTGAAAATGCTAGTGACCTCTGCGGCCCTTGTTAGTCTGAACAATGGGCCTGCCTCCTCTTACAGCTGCAGCCGCACTGGAGGGGAAGTTTCTAAGACCATAAATACACATTTACTGATTAATTTAAATACTGTACATTTGACTTCACACGCATAGAAGCTATTTGTTATTGTAGATATCGTAGGCAGTGGAAAATGGATTTATTTAGACAGCTGATGGAAGGATGCAAGAAGCTATTGCCCTGTTGCAGTTATTGTTGGTTTTTAGTGTTTTTCTTCTTGTCAGTGAAAAGAAAAGACRATAAAAATAAAAATTTGCAGCCTTAACATACAGTTATGCATAATTTGAGTAAAGTTAGTATTCGGATCTGGATGACATGGAAACTGAGTACGGAGTCACATT